GTTTTATTCAACGGGATCAGCCGGTGGCAAAATTTTTCTCTAAAACGGAAGATTCAGAAAAGTTTGAAAGGTATGTCTTGAAATGGGGAGGCGTGTCTGTTCATGTTGGCCTGCCAAAAAGTTTCTGGAAATTTTTAATCTTACTTCAATGGCAACTTAAATAATAATTAGGTTTTCCAAATTGTGACCGTTTGACAGTGACAATATCTCAAGTCATAAATAAAAAAAGTAAAATAAATAATTCAATCGTGACTCGCTTCTAAGCTTTAAAGATAATTTCATTGAAATATCAACATAAATGTAATTGTCTAAACTGGTCATTCATCAAGGTCATGTTAAGATTTCAAACACGCGTTGATGATATTTGTATTAATATTAACTGAAACAGTAAAGGGTAAGTATGGGCATGCGTGTATGTGCTTGTGTCTGTGTGTTTGTCTGTGGGTGTTTGTGTGTGTATGACTATTCACCACACAAACACACACATACACACACATTTATATCTATAGAAAGGGAGAGGGAGAGAGAAAGAGAGACACATGCATGCAGACATACTTACAAACACATACAAACAAACACCCACGCACACAAACATAAATACACAACTAGCGAAGGATCGGTCGTGAACTTGTCATCGTTGCCAGCTTCATGTTTGTTTACAATTGACTGATCGTACAAATGTTAATATAATATAACACTTGATGTATGTTTGTGAGCGTGTTTGATGTATATTGTATACTTGTGTTTGTATCTATGTGAATATGTTTGTACGTGTGTATATATGAGCATGTGTGTTTATTCACTACTCACAACCAATATACATTCAATCGTACAGTTATTGTCGGTGATTTCACGAAGGAGCTGCTCAATGTTTTTTTTATTATCACTATCATTATTATGACAGCCACATCGCCAAGATTATCATCGTCATCGTCATCGTCATCATCATCGTCATCATTATCCTCATCATCATCGTCATTACATAGTCACCGTTACATATCTTCAATCTACATGAATAGTCTTTAACTGATGCAACTCTGCTTCAACACGCAGACGATGCCAGCATCCTCTTTCGACTAGAGACCTACTGCATGATCTAGAGCTTATTAATAACAGTCTTAAAAAAATTCAACCTGGTTCATCGATGAAAAATTAAGAGTAGTAAATTATTCCAAATGTAATTACTTTATATTTGGCCCTAAAATCTCAACAAACTTAATACCTGATATAGACATAAAAATAAACAACACACAAACAGCACTAACTTTCTTGGAGTGACCGTCAAAGATAATAATCTCACATGGGATCGATCTACATACAAACTCTTTGTCTAATAAATTTAACAAAACCTTTGAAGTTACAAGCAAAATAAATTTAAATTAAACAAAACAACATCTATGGATTTATGTTATTAGTTAATAATTCCTCATTTCATCTATTGCAGCTTGATCTGGGAAAATTGCGTGAAAGTACATTTAAAGCTGACACCTTTAGTGCCAAAATCGCTTCATACGTATATTATTATGTTAATCTAATAACGACGATGATGATAATGATGATGACGTTGTTGCTGGCTTCACGCTTGTCGTGTTGTTTTGAAAAATTAAATGCTGTTTCGCTGAAAATTTTGAACTGAAGTTGATTCGGGACTTGTATTGCGTTCGTCAGAAATCATGGTAAATCCTAGGACCAGGACAAAACTGGGTGACAGATGTGTGCAGGTTGCTCTGCCGAGGGTATGGAATGATCTTTCAACAACAATGAAGCAGATTGTTCCAGAAAAAGTTTTTAGAAGAGTGTTAATTTATTTGTTCCACAAAGCATTTAATCACAGTATAATCCTCAGAAAAATGTCAATGGAGTGAATAACATAATTATAATAATAATAATAATATTATTATTATTGTTATTAATTAAATCTTCATCCTTCCAGACATAGGAGTGAATAATTTTCTAAGTTAAAAATTCTTAATTTAAATTCTTATCATGTATCAATATTTATTTGGAACTTTCTACATCGGCAACTACCAGCATTTTATGAAGATTTTTTCATTTTTGACAATCTTATGCAATCTAGAACAACACATCATACGCAACTTGTCTATAATCCGCCAGTCAGAATTAAACTGTTTTGTTTAAATTTGGAACGAGAAAATTGGAAACACTTCCGTTGGACAGAAAAATGTGATTCTATACATCTATTAAAAAAAAATGAAGAAATATATAGTGGCAATATATGCATAATGGCAAAAGACACTGTTTTCAAGAATTATTGATGCTTACCATTTTATGTTATTTTTATGATATTATAATCTATTGTTAACTTGGAGTATTTTATATTTTCAGTTTGTATAGTCAGGACTATGGACAATTAATTTAGTTGAACTTTATTTGCTTCAAACAGTGACACACGGTGGCCTTACACAGAAGAATTTATTTTCTTTTTTTGGTCTCCGAATCATTTCTTTTATTTTTAAATTTGATTTGATTGACTAAATTGATTTGATTTGATATATTTAGTAAATTTTAGTTTTGTGAGATTTCAGTTTAACTGGTGGTTTTTAGTTTTAACATTGTCGAGTTTATTCTGTAAAATCCAACTGAAGTTTGAGCTTTTCTTCCCAATCTTTGGACTTTGATCACATCCTTGTCACATGCGGAATCATCGGTGTTTAAAAGGTTGGAGAAAAAAATTCTTATCATTGTCTTGTTCAGACAGCCAAATTTAAAATTATTTGTTTCTTTCTCATTGGCATCAGATGCTTCAGTTGGTGCCTTTTTCACATTTTCAACTTCTGCACTGACTGTTTCAAGATTTTTCTTGACCTCTCAGCTGACCACCTCTGCAACAGACGTGTCCAGCGTTTAATAAATTTAAGTTGACGAGCAACCGCTTTGTTTATTTGTGTTCAAAATAATTTTGTTTATCTCAATCTCAGACTTGATGGCAATAATCAATTTGTTCAATCTAGAAGCTCATTTGCCAACGAACGCAATTAAACATGAAGAGTGTGATGAATCAGGTGTCGCATGTACCATCTTGAGTTCTTGCGGCGGGTATTATTAAAAATAAAATTCTTTTTCAGGTTTTCGTAACTTTCCAGACGTATCCATTGTAATTCAGTCGACAGTTAATAGGTAATTATAATTTTTTTAGTCACGTGATTCGAAACTAAACTAAACTAGCCAAAATTTCCAGCCAACGGATAAAAACAATCAAAACAGTTAATTTTATAACAGCTACGAGGAACAACACCAGGTCAACATCAAGAAGCAAGTTGAAAAACTTCATTTTTTAAAAATAAAAATTCAAGCTGAACACAAAAAAAACATTTGTTTACGGCAACCCATCATACATTTATCAACATTATCATCAATTATCACCATCATTATCCCAAATATCATCACTATCGTCATCATCATCAACAACACTTCCACATATAATGATTGGTGGTTGGTGCTTAATAAGAGTATAAATCATCAATTACAGATGATGTTGGGGAGTTTGTTCATTTGTACATCAATTTCGTTATACATTCATTCATTCGTTCGTTCGTTTGTTCATTCATTCATTCATTCATTCATTCATTCATTCATTCATTCATTCATTCATTATTTCATTCATTCTTTTTAAGTCATTCTTCTATTCATTCATATATTTTACACACACACACACACACACATATATTCACACGCGCACACGCACATTTAGATTCACACACATAAACACACGCACACACGCACACACACAACGTCAGCAGAAACATTGATATTAACACGTCGTGTAGATGAACATTTAATGCCATTTTACGATATGTTGATGATTTTTGATGAAATGTCTTTGGTTACCATCCTTGCAATAATTTCCGTTATGTAAATAAGATATGTGTGTTTGTGTGTGTGTGTGTGTGTACGTGTGTGTGTGTGTGTGTGTGTGTGTGTGTTTCTGTGTGTGTGTGTCATGTTGCTGTTATTGGTGTAGTTTATGTTTTATCTTATTGTTTGTTTCTTTCGTTGTTGTGGTAATGATATTTTGGTGGAATTTTTCTTAAAACCAAAACAATTGTCCTCGACTTCATCACAATAATTCCAATCAGGACAATCAGCACCACCACAATCAGCCCAGTCATCATTACCAAGACCGTCGTCATCACCATCATCATCATAGCCACCACAAAGTGCACGCTGCATAGCACTCACTGTTCATTATCTGCATCGTAGCATTCTCGACTCTTCCTATCATACAGCAATATAAACATCATCGCCTTTCTATTAAATCGAGATTAAAGTTATTAGGCAAATTTGTTTCAACATTAAGGCATTCACACACAAACACAATCATACACATACACACCACACACACACACACACACACAAACACACCACCACACAATCACACACACACACCACACGCACACAATCACACACCACACGCACGCACACACAATCACGCACACACACAATCACGCACACACACAATCACACACACACCACATACACACATACAACTACATACATTAGCTTGCACGAGATATGTACACACACGTTGTTACATATTTATATATTTTAATTATTATAATTATGTTATAAAATAAATTTATGATATTATTATGTTTATATAATTGTGAAAACACTTTTAGACATGAAGCATAGAACAAGAATTACAAATTATGAAAAATTATATTAATACCGTAATTGCTTTTTGTACTGGCCTGTATGCCTTTAACTCTGTTGACTTTTTGCTTGCAGTTCTAGTGAATTTTGGCTAAACGGTTGATTGATTTGTTGGTTGATTGGTTAGTTGATTAATTGATTGGTTTGTTAGTTGGTTTAGTGGTTGGTTGGTTAGATGAACGGTTTGATGACAGGTTCATTAGCTTGCTGATTTGTCTGTTGGTTAGTTTAATGGTTCGTTGTTTGGCTGGCTAGTTGTCTGTTTGTTTGTTTGTTTTGGTTGGTTTGTTGGTTGGTTGGTTGAATGGTCGGTCGGTCGGTTTGTTTGTTGGTTAGATGATTTTAGCAGGTAAAATATTTATATCATAATTGATTTATTTTAAAAAATTTTCATGTTTCATTTGCATCATTACTTTAGATATTTAAAACATTTGCGAATATTTTGAACACATTGATTATAAAATAAACTACTCTAGAGAAGAACCCCATTTCAATTCTTTCTGCAGTTTTGAAGCGAATGCCCCAAGCCGGCCAGCAGCCAACGAGTTCGCATCAGTTCTCACTGAAGAGTCCACAGAAGCGCAAGAAGCCACGGACGTCCTTCTCGAGGCTTCAGGTGGTTGAGTTAGAGAAGAGATTCCACAGGCAGAAGTACTTGGGGTCAGCCGAGCGATCAAACCTGGCAAAGATCTTGAAGATGACGGACCACCAAGTGAAGACCTGGTTTCAGAACAGGAGAACCAAATGGAGGTTGCTGCTGATTGCATTTCAATGATTTTCGTTATCTCGATCGCATCACGGGCAACAACAATTTAACAAAAATTAGTCAGCCACTTAATCAAAACAATTTTTACATGAAACTTCCTTCTTGACTTGAAAAGCAAAAGTTCTCAACGAATTATGTAGAACAAAAGCAATGTTCCCAGAACATTACACTAACGCAAATAAAAAATACTTTCGTTCGTTCGTTCGTTCGTTCGTTCGTTCGTTCATTCGTTCGTTTGTTTGTTCGTTTGTTTGTTTGTTTTTTCGTTCGTTATTTTGTTCATTCATTCATTCATTCATTCATTCATTCATTCATTCATTCATTCATTCATTCATTCATTCATTCATTCATTCATTCATTCATTCATTCATTCATTCATTCATTCATTCATTCATTCATTCATTCATTCATTCATTCATTCATTCATTCATTCATTCATTCATTCATTCATTCATTCATTCATTCATTCATTCATTCATTCATTCATTCATTCATTCATTCATTCATTCATTCATTCATTCATTCATTCATTCATTCATTCATTCATTCATTCATTCATTCATTCATTCATTCATTCATTCATTCATTCATTCATTCATTCATTCATTCATTCATTCATTCATTCATTCATTCATTCATTCATTCATTCATTCATTCATTCATTCATTCATTCATTCATTCATTCATTCATTCATTCATTCATTCATTCATTCATTTATCCATCCATCCATCCATCCATCCATCCATCCATTTCATCCTCGACTCACTCGAGATGATCAAACAACAACTACCACACAGACGACAATCAGCTGAGGAGCGTGAGGCTGAGCGCCAGGCTGCCAACAAATTCATGCTGAACAGCAGAAGCAGTAGCAGCAACAGTAACAAAAACAACAACAGCAACGACCCCCTCTGCATCAACAACGCCTCACTGATGGCCCTGCAAAAGTTGAAGCCCTGGATAGAGGGAGATGAGGAAAATGGTGGTGGCGGGTTTCGTGAAGGTCACCGTGATGATGATGAGGATGAAAATGGTGATGGCGACATTTATGATAATAACAATAATAATTACAACAACAACAAAAATGACACTAACAAGAGCAGTAAGAACGACGTCCAACACAAAAGTGGTCAGCATATGAAGGAAGAGAATGCCTGTGAGTCAACATTTAATGAGGATGGGAGCGCTGAAGACTATGATGATGACTGCGATTATGATGATGAAGATGGTGATGATGAAGATGGTGATGAAGAAGATGATTTCAACAACGAACTGTCTGAAGATGATAGTAACGATGTTGGTGATGATGATGATAACAGTAAGAGGAAGGACGAAGATGAGGAAGTTGATGTCGAGATGAATGACGATGACGCTGGTGATGTGGCGAAGCACGACGGCAGAGACAGAGAGCTGTTGGTTGGAAAAGAGTCAAACGACAAATCTGTAGTGATGATGATGATGAACGCTCTCAAAAACTCCAACGACTTAACAAATATTAACTACAACAATAAGAATTTTGCTGGTTTAAATTTCTTCAATGAAAGATACTCCAACATTAACAAAGATAAGAACCAAAGCAACATTACAAAGAATATTAACTCTAGTAGCTCTGAGGGTGGAAACCAAATTAATGTTCTAAAACTCAGTGGCAACCATTACATCAGCAACCATAACATCAACACCAACAACATTATCAACAATAACATTGTCAACAACGACATTGCCAGCATTGACAACATCAGTAATGTCAACAACTTGAACAACAAGATTGACAAAACGCCGAACAATCAAAAACAAAATAACGAAAAAATTGTCAGTGAGAGTTATTCGAGGCAAGCCAGCTCCAAGAGTCTGCTTTCAAATTGCAGTGCCTATCTATGCTCAAACTTTTCTTCAGACGAAAAAAATGCGTTGCATATAAGCCAGCCTACTTTGAACTTCAACGAGTTAGTGACCTATCATCGTCAACAGCAACCGCAGCAGCAACAACCACGCCAACAAACGCCATCTACACAGCAGCTTAAACATAAAACTCGTTCCCAACCACCAACAAAATTTTCTGTTATAAACAGTGAAAAAATTGAAAAGTCACAAATTCCTCTAGATCCCTCTAAACCAATAAAAACTTTCCTATCATTCAACCAATCGAAACTGTCGGATGAGAACATAAAATTCAAATCAACCAATGACAGTCGTGTTCTTTGCGATTCTTCTATCGCTGATTGGTCACTCAACAATGGGAACAAATTCGAATCAAGCAAATGTGTGGCCTGATTTCAAAATTTAAGAACAGTTCCATTTATTTCCTGTTTCCTTCGAAGCATTGTTATCTTTGCCCAGCAGCCACGCAATCACACAATGCAAGATGCCTTAAATTTATTTTTATATTGCATTTTTTAATACTTTGAAAACATTTTCACGACTTTTGTTGAATATTTAACCGAAATAAATTGTAAACTATTTTCTTGAATTTTTACAAATTATTTATTGGTTTTTATATTTAATCTATGAAATAAAACACAAATGAAGATTGCAAGTCTCAAATTTTTAATGACCATTTCAAGAAACCTTCAATCAAGGTTTGGAAACAAATTAAAACAATAAAATTCGCAAAAAATATTTTATCCTTTATACACATGAAGAAATGTTTTGTTCCAAAAAGCAACAAGTTGGTACCTATTTTCATAAAAACCATAAAAAAATTTATTTTATATTTTAAATAAAGATTTGATTAATTTTTTTATGAACAATATTTTGGCAATTTAATAATAAAAATCTCCAAGGAATGCGGTGATAAATGTAAGCAATGATAAAAAATTAATGTCGGCTCTATATAATATATATTATTTAAAAAATTTCGCAACTCTAATCAAATCAGTTCAAATCAATTAAACACAAACAAGAATGTGAAAAGAATGAAATGTTATGAAGATAAAAACTCATTCCCGTTCGCCCATCATTTAACAAATATAAAACTTGTAAGATAAACGATACATACAACTCAATAAACAAACGCATTAACTTATCTTTAGATATATCGTGCCTTGATAAAACATTTTGTGCGTAATTACTAACTCGATAATAAATAATTATTAAAATTATGAGTGTTATAACTTAAAAAAAAATATAACGATCATTTTCAATTCGATCTCAAAAGCAAAAACTCCATAGAGACATGAAGTTTTACAAATAAATAAGGAGTTTCCCCGAAGGATGTAACATTTTGCGTGTATTCAACTTACCACCCTATCACAAACATTCAGAAATTTTCGAACTCCCCAAGGTGAAACACGTCACAATTGTTTGAACTCTCCCCTTTTTTAAAATACCGAAGATACAGTAAAAAGCTTTTTTGTTCTATTATGCTTAAATGTTCTATCATGTTTAAAATATATAAAAAAAAAGGTTTTGAACTTTTTTAAATATTTTAATATGTTAGTATTAAATTTATAGCAATAAAATGAATATTATGAAACATTTTGTTAATTTAATTAATAAGCTAAATAATAAATTACAATATATTATCAGAAAAATAGATAAATTAAAATTTAAATTAATAAATAAAACTATAGCGATCTGCGTATAGTATTGTATTGTCGATTTGAAGAAAGCCTTCGTTGAATTTTGCTTCGTTTTGTTGAAAAATGATGTTTCAACCGACTTCTGAACACTTTTAGACACATGTTAATATCAACTTTCAGGTCAACTGACAGTGAGTTCTCAGTCTTGAGAGTTGCAACAGGAAACCTATTAGGTACAGAATGAGATGTTTTGAACGGAGGACAAGCAAGATTTTTGAGTTTTGCAGATCTCAGGAACATTCGAAATTGAATTTATCATCTGTATCACGTAGCCCGGTGCTTTTCCAGTTGAACAGTAAAAAAATGCAAATGGGCTGAAGATTGGCAGATGGTATTCAATACCGACAAATGCGCAGTCTAACATACGAGAACGAAAAACAAAGAAAACGTATTCAAACTTGGAAAAACAACACTAAAAAATGTAAAAGAGGAAAAGGATCTAGGAATGATAATCCACCGAAATGGTAAGGTAGCGCGGCAATGAATCGAGGCAGCTAAAAGTGAAAAACAGGATCCTAAGAATGATAAAAAGAAAAGTAAAAAGCAGATCGTCATATATAAACCTATATAAAAAAATTGGTCCGACTTAAGTTGGAGTACTGTGTTCCTCTTTGGAATCCGGATTTACAAAAGGACAGACATATGCTTATGAATATTCAAAGGCGGGCAATAAGAATGACAGTGGAGTGTCGCGGTATGCCATATGAAGACAGACTGAAAGTTTGTGGTTTGACAACATTAGAAAAAAAACCAAGAGCAAATTTGATTTAGGCATACAAAATCATCACTAAGAAAGAGAATTTGGAACCATTGAAATTTTTGAGTTTAGGACGAACAGTAAAACAAGGGGGCATAAATAAGAATGATAAAGTAAAAATTTTTAGCTACAGAGTAATCAACGGGAGGAACAAACTGGGAGATGGAATAATATGCGCAGAAAAAACTAATAACTTTAAAGCAAACTTAAAATAGGATATTAAAAAAGTATCAGAGTGGTTCTGTCACAGACGATGTCTTTTTGGATCACTATATAAAATCTTTGTTATTTTATGTCATGTCATGATTGAATGCATTTGTTGATGATGAAATGATAACATGGTTGCAGTGTGTCTAACAATATTTGAAATAAACGATGGCATTGAACCCAGACTATAACATTTTTTCAATGATGAAAAATAATATTTGAAACAAACAAAATTCAGTGTTTTTGTTACGAATAATATTTACGTTTATGAATTGTAGTATGTTTTAAACAATTTTACATAAACATTTCTACTTCACAACAAATAAATAGCGACGAAGCTTTTCTATCTCCCCATGCTGTTGACAGGATTTCTGGGAGTGTTGGCAATCTCCTGAGCACGCTGGTCACGAATGAGGTCAACAACGATTGTTCTCAAGTTATGATAGTCACTCATCGGCACGTCTTCGGGAACCCAATAATATTCCAAAAATTCTGGATCCCTCTTGGATCTTTCACTTTCTAGCTCCACATTAGCAGACCTCGTTTTCTTCCTGTTTAATTTTCCTTGTTTTTGTAGTTCATCCATGCGCAGTTCCCAGGCCATCCTGATGACGTCAGCTACTGATAGCTCGGTGGGAGCCCATCTCTTATCACGGAGGTTGTTCGGGACCTCCATTGACTCCAACGTTCTTGCTGCAACTGGCATCACCGTCATGTTGATGCACACGAAAGCCATTATTGCGATGATGTGTAACAATTTCATTCTGATTCAACAAAAAAAGCAAAATATATAAATTTATAAATTTAAAATAAAATCAATTTCAATACTAACATGATGTTGTATTTAGAAGTATTTGATTCTATTAAACTACTATGGTTGAAAAAACTCAATCTGATGGTAATTGGTCATTTGAACAAGCTTAGCACATCTTATATACATAACAAAACAGATATTTGTCCGAAACAAAAAGAACTATGTACTTGAGACTTCAAAGAAAAATGTTTGCTCGTCAATCAATCAATCACCGCACTAGGAACGCTTTGATTCGTGAATTTTTGCACAACAACCGCTGACTCATTGCCTGATGTTTGGAAGGAACTATTCCAAAAGTTACAGCTGAAAATGTTATGCATTGTGATTTTTTAATGTATAAATATAGCCAAGTTATTGACTAAGAGCAATGAATAAGTTATCGTTGTATGTTTGTTTAAGTGGAATGCACCAGAGTATTTACATCAGAAAATGTTTTTGTCAGAGCATTAATTACACTTAATTTTTTTCACGAATGTTTTTTGTTCAGAGGTTAAAAAAATAAATAAAAGTTTTAGAAAGTTGTTGAACAGTAACAAAAAATCGCTGTTTGAATTTTGAAAGAATTATTTATAAATATATATCTATGATTGAAAGGCGGGAAGCAAATGAAGAAAGCGTTGAGTTTCCTGATACATACCACTTTATTGCTTATGAATACTTTTTATCAAGTAGAGAATTGATATATTTATTGTCAACAACAAAACTATTAATTAACACCAAAATAGCATCTTTGGATGTGGAGTCACTCTTTACAAACGACAGGACACAATCAGCATAATAGACAGAATATACAATTCCAGACATTCACCACTACCAATTCCAAAAGATGAATTAGTTGCGCTGCTAAAAATATGTACAGCCGAAGCGCTTTTCGTTGGCCCGGGTAACACACTATATCAGCAAATAGACGGTGTAGCAGTGGGCTCTCAATTGGAAGTACTCTTCGCAAACTTCTATGTTGAACATATTGAAGAAATGTTATATAAAGAAGAACCAGAGATTAAACCTAATGTATACTGGCGATATGTTGACGATATATTTGTTACATATGAAGGCGATGATCAAAGAGCAAGACTACTACAACGACTTAATTCGTCAAAATTTAAGTTTACAATGGAAAAATCAACTGACAATAAACTACCACTCCTATACGTACTAATACAAAATGTGCAAAATGAATTCAAAACCTCAGTCTACACCAGAGCAACAAGCAAAGGTTTATGCCTCAATGGCAATAGTGAATGTTTTCATACATATCTAAAGAGCACGATCTCTGCCTTTGTAAACTGAGCCTATACGCACTCTTCCGTTATAGGAAGCAGGAGAACAGAACTAGATAAAATCACTAAACAACTCATCAATAATAGATATAAAAATTTCATGATCCAGAAAGTAATAGAACGCAAAGAACAAAAAATCAGCAACAACAACAATGCAACAAACAATAGTAACAAAAAATAACATAGTAATATATCATAAGAATCACATGTCAACCGCTTTCGATCAAGATGAAAAAATCATGAAAAGAATCATAGAAAAGAACGTCCAAGCAATCAACGAAAACGATATTATTAAACTACGAATAATAATAATATAAACATTTATGAAGCGCCCATTCGCACAGCTGCTTCAGAGGCGCCCAGAGCCCATGTTAAAAAGATGAGTCTTTAATCCTTTTTTGAAAAAACTCAACGAGGTTACGCATTCCAGACACACGGAGCAACGTGACGAAAACCGCGGCCAGCCAGGCGGGATCTGACAACGGGAATGTTTAAGAAACCTGTTGAGCTGCTGCGGAGTGATCTAGTATGTTCATATCTGGATATGAGGTCGTATAGATATGTTGGGAATTTTAATATAAGGGTATTGAAGGTAACGACTGCAATTTTGAAGATGATTCGAGCGGAAATTGGAAGCCAATGAAGCATTGGAAAGAGAATGGAAGAACTAAAACGAAGGTACACGGCAAACTGTGAAGAAAGTATTTATTTGCACTGAATCGATGTTGAGTCAGTCATTTGAACGATTTTCAATGGAAAATGTGGATATGTGCTGTTAAATTAATATCTGAATATATTACATATTGAATTTTAAGCAAAAATTTTGTATGTTCTCATATTTATATAGTAGACCTAATGCTTTTGAAAGAAATTTTAATTTTTCAAAAGTTATTAAGAATAAATTTATCGATGAAAATGAATTCTCTAAAATAACGTTTAAAAGGAAGCAAAGTGAAGAACCAACAAAGATGTCTGTGTCAATTTTGTTGTTCATCACTTCGTCGTCATCATCATCCTTCAGCTCGCTAGCGACATTGAAGGGTATGCTTGCGTCTGATGCTTTTAAGACTACGCAATTGTCCAGAGCACTCCTTCGAAATTGCCCTTGCATGGACGTTAAAAGACGTGTTATCATCAAAACAAATCCCACGTTGCGTGCAGATATGCAAAACTCAATATCAAAACCACCAAGCCTCAGACTCAATGTTCATTTTTCCGATTGCTGCCTGGTGCCAATCGGTAAAAACTGAGTTTTTGACTGATTCAATTTAAGCGTATTTGCCATCATCTACTCAATAACTTCCGAGAGACGTGATCTGAGTCTACAGGCAAGATCATCAAAACGAAACGACGAACGGGAGCACTAGCAATGATCTGACTATCCTCAGCAAAACCGTGATGTTTGAAATTATATTTGTCAGTGATTTATAAAACATCTGCAGTGTACTAAAAAAATAGAAGGGGAAGCCGAAACCCGACCTATGTGAAACAACGTATGGCGCAGATTCAACATGTGTCAAGTTAAATATGAATAAAATCTGTTGTGTACGACTAGAAAGATATGACTCAATATATTGAAGAACATCACCAAATACTCTAAATGAATATTGGAGCTTGCGTAAAAGCGATGCGTGATCTACACAATCAAAAAGCAGAGCTCATATCCAAAAGAACAAGCAACGACACATTCTGAGCATCTGTGGAGGAATACAAATTAGATCAAAAATGCAGTCGAATGTAACTGACGATAACCAGATTGATAAGCCAGAAAAAGATTATTGGTTCTTAGGTGAGTGACAAGTTGGTAAAAGACTATGCGTTCAACAACTTTAGACAAAAACACAAGGTTCGACACAAGCCGATAACTTGAAAGGTCAAAGTACTTTTTTCAGAATAGGGCTTACCACAGCGTTTTTGAAAGCTAATTGAAAAGAGTCGGAGAGAAGACACAGGTCGATAAAAAGGTGAAAAACGGCAGAAACAGATCAACATATTTTTTAATAATCTGTGTTGGCAAACAGTCAAGGGAGCATGATTTGGCAGGTGCGCCAAGTATAATTTTTTAACATATAGTCACTAGAACAAGTTGATAAACTTGAAAATGATAAGATTTCGTGTAAATTGCAAGGAATAAGAAATGATCCGAAAGAGCCGCATGTCGCATTTCGAGCGGCAGCAACCTTATCTCTAATAATAATGACATAATTTGCCACGCATTCAAATATATATCCAACATGGCCAGTCATCCAGCTAAATATTGCCCACTGTTTTATTCCACTTGTGAGGTCCATTTCAAGATTGTCTTGAACAATTCTCATCGCCGAGCCTACGAGGTTTGTCGAATTATCGTCTACTATATAGACGATACTTTGAAAATCTTGTTCCTTTATATGAATAACTTTAATGATCAATTTTAAAAGCAACGAATAAAAAACAAAATTTTTCAGATATAAGTGAAAATATTCTACGCAGTGTAATTTAAAAATTCAAACGTTCGACAGGTTAATAACGAGTACACCAAAAATGCATTTCGTTTATTGTTTTTTACGGAATAGTTTGAAAGAAACAAAAATAAATTATTTTTTATTACAAACAAAATATTTCTTTTATAATTATTAATATGTTTTACACTTTTGTGTGAATATTTCCATTGCTCAACAAATAAATAGCGACAAAGCTTTTTCTATCTCCCCATGCTGTTGACAGGATTTCTGGGAGTGTTGGCAATCTCCCGAGCACGCTGGTCACGAATGAGGTCAACAACGATTGTTCTCAAGTTATGATAGTCACTCATCGGCACGTCTTCGGGAACCCAATAATATTCCAAAAATTCTGGATCCCTCTTGGATCTTTCACTTTCCAGCTCCACATCAGCAGACCTCGTTTTCTTCCTGTTCAATTTTTCCTGTTTTTGTAATTCTTCCATGCGCAGTTGCCAGGCCATCCTGATGACGTCAGCTACTGATAGCTCGGTTGGAGCCCATCTTTTATCACGGAGGTTGTTCGGGACCTCCATTGACTCCAACGTTCTTGCTGCAACTGGCATCACCGTCATGTTGATGCACACGAAAGCCAATGTTGCGATGATGTGTAACAATTTCATTCTTTAAAAAAAAATCAATTTTTATAACTTTTTTAAATTAAAATAAAATCACCTTTAAATCTAATATGGAGTTGTAGTAAGAAATATTCAATTAGATCAAACTTCAATTCGTGAGAAAAAAATTTGCTTGATATGAATTAGTTATTTGAACAAGCTCAGCACATCTTATATATACATAACAAAACAGATATTTGTCAGGAACAGAGAGAAGTATATTCTTGAGACTTCACAGAAGAATGTTTGCCTGTCAATCACTCTGCCAATCACATCACTAGAATGCTTTGATTCATGAAGCATTGCACAACATCCGCTGACTTCTTTAGGTGCTCATTGATAGATGTTTTGTAGGAACTATGTGAAAACTCGTCGTTCAAAAATTTAAAGTATTGTGAATTTTTAAAGTATAGATAGCCATAGACGAAGTTACTGATGTATAATTTGTTTAGATGGAGTTCACCACAGTATTTGTATTCCATTGAACTCCAAATGTGCAAATGTGCGAAGTATTTAATTTGTCGTTTTTGTTGTTAATACTAAGCTTCACAATACATTTTTCATATTTTTTTTATATTCTATTTGTATATTAACTGGCTTTCGACCCTTTTTGTCCGGCTGATGGTTCTTTAACAACTAATAATTTTAAACGTTATTGCGGATTTCAGTTCGAAGTTTCAAATTGTTATAAAAAAATTTTTTTGTCGAGAATAATGCAAATTTTATTATCGTGCCGTTTGAAAACATATTTAGAAATTACAACACCGACATTAAGTTTTATTGCATATATTAACGTCGGTTTTATTTGAGTTTTAAAAAGACTGTTTTTCTATAGTTAAATTGTTTTTATGTATATAATTTTATTTTTAACTTATTAAGAAATTGTAAACAATTAGCTGATATCATTTGAAAAAGATGTGATAAAAAGAAAAGTTAACTTTATACAAAAAGTTTGCTGAAAAAAAATGCAGACAAGTATAAGGTGTCAGCAGACGAGTTTCAAAAACTTGCTCAGTTGCTTGCATCTGACGAGGATCGCTTGCATGACGAGGAGCCATTGATGCAACTCACCTCAGTTACCACGGACCAATTGCACAACTTAATGATGGACCAGCAAAACTTCTACTTTTCAACAACATTGAAAAACGTCCCAAAGCAGTTTATATCAGATTTTGACATCGATTCTAACGGTTGCATAGTCGAGAATGGAATCATCGAACACTTCGATTATTTTCATTCATGTTATTGTTCTCAAAAAATTACCTCTTACCATATCCCAGGGGAAATTTCAAAGATGTAACCTGTTCGATATGTTGGGAAAACTTCCTGAAACGATTGTTTGTTGTTAAATTGCTCTGTAGTCACAATTTTCATGTAACGTGTTTTGAAACGTAGTTCAAGGTGCAGTCTAAATGTCCAACTTGCAGATTTAAAGTGGCAGGAAGTACGAAAGTCGGGCATCGTTACGAAACTTATGTTGATAAAAAAAGGCACTACCAAAAGAAAACTTGTTATAATCATGCGTAACAATCTCAGACCTATATAATAATAAACTAGGCATAATAATAAACTATTAATTAACACTTTATTAATTAAAGCTAAATTTGTAGGAAGAAATTTCTGTTTTTATGGTCCGCTCCATTGGGATAAACTGCCTTACTATATTAAATGTAATGTAATTTATAATTCTTTCAAAAAACAATTGAAAACATATTTTTTATGCTGTTCATAACGTAAATTGTTTTATTTTATTTCATAATTATAATATTGGCTCAATTTCTCTTTTTTTTGTTATCCCTAATTTTTAATTCATTTCAATTATTCTAGATATATATGTATTGCTTAATTTTTCAGTTGATATTTTTAATTCTTATTTATGTGTAAATCCTGTTGAATTAGTTGAGATTTAATCTGTTCATGAGGCCATCCATAAATTAGTATTTTATTGCTAGGATGAACCTTTTTACTTTTGTAAATAAAACTGAAAAAAAAACTATCACAACGCAGAAGTTAAATTAAGACATTTAAATGGATAATTTTATCAGTATTCATTCAAATTATTTTATAGAAAACCATTGGTTTGTCCTAATAATGTTGACGGTGATTGTATTACAATTAGGTTAACTCTGTTGATTAGATATTCAAATATTTGTATGCACGTGTGTGTTATTGAATCATACTTCGTTCTGCAAATTTATTCGAGAGGTTAGTTTTATTTTTATTTATTATAACAATATTTATAATCACATTTTTTTGTTTATTTAAAATATTGGTCACGCTGTTAGTTTTGAAAAATGTTGAGTGTAAAGTTTGTTAAACTTAATTTTTGATTTTTTCACAGTTTCCAGCATGTTCTAGTGACACCCATGTAGTTTGTGTAAACAGCGCGATGAAACCATAATGTTGCCCTGAAGTCATTTCCATTGTTTGCCCTGCTTAAAGTATTTCACTTCGACGAGAGAAACTGCTTGATGCCAAATTTACTGCAAGACCAACAAATGATAAAAATGGACAATGCGAGGTGTGCAAAAAAACTTTCAAAAAATGTTGCCTCACTCGTGAAATAAAAGTGACTGATTATGAATTTATTATATTTTTTGTGGTGATTTACAAATTTTTTCGAAATTTGGTTAACTTTTACACAAATATTTGATAGAAATATGTGTTGCAATTTGAAATAAAAATTAATGTTAACTTTGTTAAAAGTGTTTTATCGTTCAAGTTATTTTTTGATTAATATTTAATTCAAAAATATTGACATATGGTTTTTATTTCATAATCGTCGATTCTTAATTAGCCATCGACCCGCTGTTATATGACCCCATAATCACAATCACATAGTCATTCATTTGTTTGTATTGCTACGAATGACTTTATAAGGTTACTTGCAAAATTTTTGAAGTCATAACGTGCCTGGATTATTTCATAGAGAAATGTTCATCTGGTAGATGAAAATATTTAAAAAATAACTATTAATATCAATGTTCCCATTTTGAAACGTTGTTGGACTCAAAGTTAAAATTTTATTATTGAATTTAGATTAGACTAATATGAACGATAACACATTCGGCTAATAACTGATTCCATTCAAGATTCGGTTTCTAAGTATCAAACGTTAGCAGTGGCTAATTTAAGTGCCAACAGTCTACAAAGGCCTATGTAATTTATTCTGCATATTTATTTGATTATAGCACAAACCCGTATATAATTATAAATAATTCATTGTCTCGTGCGATCATTATTCAATTGAATTGCTTCATTCAACCTTAAGACTATTTCACTCAATCGTTCATTTGTCTAACATTATTCTAGCCAGCAGTTCAAAATGAATAATAAAAAAAAAATTTGGTTTATATTAGTTCCGCGTAACAAAATTTTGAAGAACGTAATGTCTATCAGCTATGAAAATTTAACGTACTTTACTTATCTTACTTAACTCTTATCTTTACTTATCTTACTTACTTTACTTAACTCTTGCTCTTGTAATGTGCCTAAACGTATTAACCATCACGTTATCTGGGTGCCTGATCTCATGTCAAAGATTGTAATATTTAATTACGGTTATCGCTTGCCACATTTGGCCACAAAGTTTGTTAACTTTAGTTACAGACAATTCTAATGGTTTGTTATACAGAACGTGGAAGCGTTTTATCCGGTGGCTTATCACCTTTTGAAACCTTTAGAAATTAATCCAAAGGTTTCTAATAATATAATACTTGAATGAAAAAAATTTATATAGGATTGTAAAAGTCAGGCTATAAGCAAAGAATAGAAATTCAAGGAATACTTAAGCATAGATAATTATATGAAATATAATTTACATCTTCCCCCTTCAAGTCACTTTTGGAGGCACATAAAGTAACAATTTATTAATGTGAAAAAAGTTTGATTCTATCTTCTTCATTCCACAGTCTATTTCGAAAATCGACGGTGGCATCTTTCGGAGAACTTTAAACGGGCCAACTCTTATTTTGTCCATTTTACTTCGATTGAGTTTACTCCCATTCTGGACATAGACCTGATCGCCCATTTTAAATTCGTACTCTTCTCTTTTCGTTTATTTTATATTTTCAATTTTATTTCAATTTTCATCATTTTTGCTTTGTCATTTGATTGGTGGTTAGTATCATGTATATTAATTTCTCTTTTTGACGAGTAAAGATTCTTGTTTCTACATTCATTTGATGGATGGTATCGATTTTTCAAGCCTAATTCTTCACACATAAAACATGGTTTCTTTGCTGTGCTGACAAAATACTTTTTATTTAAAGTAGGCCTATTATTTTCATTTTTGGCTTGATGTTAGAGACGCATTCATCAATTTTTGTTTCTTCGATTCTTCAAACAGTTTCTCAATGGTCGTTATTTCTTCTCTATCAAGCTGGTTTTGTATTTCTACGGGAAGGCCCATAACGATCATGTCTATTATCGACATTGTAGTAGCGTTCACAACAATTTCTAAACAAAGATTTTCTTTTGCTAAGGCGTAGTCTATTAAAGAGCCGCCTAAATATTTGAAATTGAAATGTTTTGATATTGTTATCATCTAACTTTTTGTAACAACTCAAAACCATTAGGATTGAAAACTGATTCAAATGTTCTAATGTATGGAGGAGATCAATCAAATTCAAATTGATATTAAAACCTTTTAAAATATAGGTAATATAAATTAACATGCTAACGTGACTCTCATCTATGTAGCGTTTAATTTTTGCCGATACGAATAATTCAAATTACTATTTTATGTATAATTTTTCATTGCAAATATTTGTTACAGAATTGAGGTTTCGCCAGCTCTGCACATATTTTTATCGAAATAGTTTTTTTTTGTCAGAACGTCAATTTTCTTTCATTGGGTTGTAAAAATTTTTTTGTAAACGATATTAAAGATGTATCTGATAATTCACCATATTTATTTTCAAGTGAAATCGATGCAAATATATAACTTTTAAAATTAGTCAATTTCATTAAGTTCTACACCAACATACAGGTTGCGGATTTGTTTTGAACTTGCGTATCTGAAACATGCTGGGTAGAGTTATTTTACTGTTTCTTGTCCTTCTTATTCCTGCTGAATCTATAATTCACTGGCAGAAACATGGGTTAGAAAATTTATTTTCAGAAAATATATACGACCTGACACATTTTACATTTTATTTAGCTTTGTCTACATGTTATCAAAAAAATATTTATTGACGATTTGAGCAAATATAATGCCGCATGTATATATGATTATACTTACTTTAAAAGAATCTGTGGTGTCAGCAAAGTTGAGTAAAAACAAAAAAAAATTAATTTCTTCTAATATAAAAAATAAATTTTTAAAACCAAATATATCTCAATCATTTTTTTCTTGTTCCTACACAAGACATACAAAAACTGCCAATTGTATACTTGACTTGATGTTCATGTTTTGATAGATAGAAATACAATTTTGTATTTGTGCTAACCACTAATTGACACAAATAAAAAGACATTTATATATAAAAAATTTAGCCAAAATTTGATTCTTAATCCAAAACATTTACTTTTAATTCTTCGTTCAAATCTCATGAGTTGAAACGTTTCGTTTAATGAGTGAAACGTCCGAAAACATTCTCAAAAAATTGGCAAATATATTGGTAAAAATGTTCTATATTTGAGTGAAATTGTAATTAATTTTTTATTTGCAGCAATTCAAGGTTCAAGTTGTGCAGTAACAAAGTGTGTCTAGGTGTAAAGAAACAAACATCTTCAGTAATTGTTTCCGATGAAAACGACACTGATGTTAACTTCTTGTGGAAACAGAATGAGCATGGTTTTCTAGTTTTTGCTGATAACTTGTTTGGTATCGACTTGAAACCTTCGGCTTTATGTGGCTCAACCATCGCAAACATGTGTATGTCAACATTTGTGTTTCAATTTTATTCCCAGCGACCGAATTTCTAGTTTTCAATTTAATCCAAAACTTTGTCATATTTCAGCTTACGCTGGTTTCCCGGCGTATAATCTTGAATTGAAAGAGTTTGACTTGAGGAAAAAAACAATGCAATGGAAATTATCAATTCATTACACAAGCTTTTTCAGAATTGTAAATGAAAAAACGAATTTAACACTCTATCTGGGCCAATACTTTCCATCAGATGTAATTGCGATACCAGGTGACTTGCGAACGGATGTATTAGTTTATCTTGATGGTTTTTCGGCCATGCAGTCATGCAGTGAGACCATCATCGCGTTTGAACGCTCAATTGTGGGGTAAGTTAAATAATCTACGCATTTTAAAATATTTTATGATTAAAATGTTATAGCTTAAGATATTTGTGATTGAATGAATAGAAAGATATTTTCTTTCAGACACATCATTAACAAAACGTACACTATTTGTCGCACTGGAGCCGGTATCAACTACACGCTGTGCCTCACAAGCGGTACAAAGATTGAACACAAACCAAAAAATGGAGATTTAAGCCAAAAATGGGTTTTGAACGAATATGGCTATTTGTTTTCCAGCTTGAATGGATTAGGTATTGATATAAATTTGACGTTTGAATATAAATGCGCAAAGGATGAAAGGACATCTCAAAGACCAGGTTCGTTTACCCACAAAAACACACAAATTCGTAAATGAATCAAAACACGCACACGCACACACACGCATACACACACACACACACACATATATATATATATATATACACATATATGTATGCCTCAATGGCAATAGTGTTTATTGTCAAACATATCTAGAGAGTACGATTTCTGCCTTTGTAAACCGGGCCTACTCGCACTCTTCTGATACAGAACTAGATAGAATCATTAAACAACTCATTAATAATGGATATAAAAATTCCATGATCCAGAAAATAATAGAACGCAAAGAACAAAAAAATCAGCAACAACAACAATGCAACCAACAATAGTAACAAAAATAACATAGTAATATATCCTAAGAATCATATGTAAAGCGCTTTCGATCAAGATGAAAAAATCATGAAAAGAATCATAGAAAAGAACGTCGCAGCAATCAACGAAAACGATATTATTAAACTACGAATAAAAACCAAAGAACCTCATCTCTAGTGATGAAAAACAACTGCACTAGTAAACCAGAATCGATAATGGATCATAGCCATCTAAGAAATTTGTTCAAATGTAATATTGGTGAGTGTGGGCACCATAATTCCGAATATATTGGTATGACGACAACCAAGTTATCGAAAAGACTCACGATCCAACTACAAACTGGCGCTATAAAGAGTCACATGAAAGTGAAACACGAAACTAAAATTACTAGACAAATCTTGGACCACAATGTTGAAATCTTACATTACAATAACAACCATTATAATTTATGATTAGCCGAATCAATACTCATAGAACAAGGACATCCGATAATAAATATTCAACAAAGGGCAATTGGAATTCTTCCTACTAATAAATTTAGAAACAGAAAACACAAACTCGTAAACATGTTATTATTTATCGATAATATATCGATATATATATATATATATATATATATATATATATATTTGATCATCTGGGCACAAACACAACGTAACAATTTGAACACCGAAGATGGTATAGGAATACCTAAAAAACCTTTTTTGTTCTAATCATGCATAAAATTAACAAAAATTTTTGTTTTGAACTTGAAATTTATTTACGATCAATCGTTAAATTGGAGTTAACTAACTCCGAACATGCTGTGATTTTCATCCAATAATTGCATTTCTGACAGTCTTAATCCAATATACATGTACATTGTATATATGTATATATATATATATATATATATATATATATATATATTTCAAAAATTCAACACCACTTTCAACATTGCTCAACTTTTTTATATTTCTTTTTAATTTATTAATTTCAGAGAAATTAGACATTTTATTGTTTTTTAAAAATTTTTATTAAATAAATTTGCAAATAGCTATTTCGAGTTATAGATAACTCATCTTCAGTGCATTATATATAAGGTATGTAAGATATTTGATAAGAAGGAACAAGTAATTATTAATTTATAAAAATTATTTAATTAAAACAGAAAACCAATAAAATAAATTTAATAACTATAAACAATATAAAACGCGATTTTAAAAATTTTTAACGGCAAGATTGTTTATATTATGGTTATTATGTTGCTTCTCAGCCGAGAAGCGCAAATTAATTTATTTAGTTAACTACATATTCTTAATATTATTTTTACAATATTTAAAAACGTTATTATTATTATTATTGTTAACGTTATTATTATTATTATCATCGCTGTGGTTCTGCTTGCTTCAAATGTCTAAAATTAAAAATTAAAATAAAATTAAAATTACAATAAAATGTCTAATTTCTCTGAAATTAATAAATTAAAAAGAAATATAAAAAAGTTGAACAATGTTGAAAGTAGTGTTGAATTTTTGAAATGTTGCGTTAACAACAGTCTGTTACCAAAATATATATATATATATATATGTGTGTGTGTGTGTGTGTGTGTGTGCGTGTGTAATTTTTATTAACATATGTATTATCATAAGACAAAAAACACGTATTATCATTTCATTTAAACTTTCAAGAAAGATAACGGTAAATTTTCAATTAACTAAGTTTTTTATGCAACCTATCAGTAGAAATTAGCAGTGAAACTGTAGTCTTTGGACTAATTGAAGCCCCCTTCAACCCGGATAAGCTGTCAATGAGATGGCGACCTGGGAATGGTGACAGGTCAATTGTGAATGGAGACTACAAAATGAACGTGCAATACCTTTTTGAGAAGCAGTGTGGATCACCTTCTTATAATGTTGGACAGGACAATAGGAAAAGTTTTCAAACCGTCGCCATCTACGATTGGAGTGGATCGTTTCTACACCTGGACGATTGTGTTCGAAGTCAACTTTGCAATGCCAAAGTGTTTGACTTTTGGACAAAATATAACGCGTAAGCATTTCATCGTTTTGTTCAGAATATCAGTCAGGTCAAAATTTTTCCGGAAAATTTTGCAATCCAGACTTTTATCAAATTTAGAATAAACTGCTAATTTTGATGAAATCATAACCATCTCAAAACCATTTACAATCGTTTAACTTTCATGTTGCAAATAAGTTAGTTCCAATAACTCTCATAATAATCTCATCACGCAATGCCTTTTTATGTTTTTTTATTCTGTAAATCAGACTCTGTCAGACAGTATTGACATGCAAGTTGTAAAACGAAGAAAATAAAATTTTGAACAACTCAACAGCTTCCTCACACAATGTCTTAATTTTCATTACACTTAGTTTTGTTTCTCGCAAACTGCAGGGCAACTCCAATAACAATATGCCAGAAAGGTTCGCACCACTGCTTGTCACCTGGATTAGTAGATGGCCTCACTCTAGTTCACGAAGAAAGTACCGCACACGTGGAAGATATTTATTATTGGGAACTTAATAGTTTTGGCTACATAATAAGTAGCTACCACAACCTCGCTATTGATCTGGGTGATAGCATCTGCGTTACTTACATGAAGGATTCTGGTGAGAAAGTGAATTGCTCAGTAATTAGCAGTTTGAACAAAATCCAAATAAAATTTGTTTGAAAATTTTAATTTTATTTCAGTTACAATGAGTAGCGTACCTGCGTTTTATCCAAACCTGGAGAATGAATTTCGATTGAATAGGAATTCATTGAAGTAGAGACTGAATAACCTGGAAGATCAAACACTTATAAATGAGGCGGCCAACTTGACCATCATCTACAATCCGAATTCCTCAGTTCCTCTCTTAGCGGTTAATGGTATCTTTCTTAATGGCATCAATGTAACTACCATTGATGCCATACTCGATTCGGATGATTGCATTGAAAATATAATCAAATACGAAAAAAAATATTTTGGGTAAATAATTTCAAGCGTTTATTTTAATAAATTATTTCAACGCCAACTTTCAGAATTAAATTCAATGTATACAAAATAGTTCGAGGTAAACAAAAAATTTCCATCAACAGACGACCGAGGAGTAAAATTTACGAATTTTGCCAACAATATGGCAGATATCAAGAAGTTTGTCTGACGATGGCTGGCCAAAGCGTAGAATTTCAAAACAAAACAGGCCAAAAAAGTCAAAAGTGGATTATAAATGAACACGGCTACTTGGTTTCTGAAATTAATGGCTTTGGAATTGATGTTGACACGGGAAGCCAACCTTTTTGTGGCCAAGTCGTAAAAAAATATGATCCCTTTGGTTTGTTCAGCTCAAATAAATTTATTTTTGAAAACATATCTATGTCTATAAAAAAAAACTCTAAAAGTTTTATGCAAGTGAAAAACTCATTCTTGGTTGAAAAATATCAGAACCAGCTTGAAATTGTAATACTTTTTTAAATGTTTTCACCCATTAAATTTTAGACACGAAAGACTTGTTAGGTTACAAACTTAAAGCTCGAACATTTCAGCCCAATAAAAATTCAATGATGTGGAGACCAACTGATAACGGAGAAATCTTGAAAAACGTGAAACTGAAGTTGACCTTGAAGTTTGTTAGGTTTCAAGAGTGCACCGATGACTCAAGTCTCTCAATTCACACCCTGGCACTATTCAGAAATGACGAAAGTTATCATCCCAATCAGTTCCAATGTATTGAAAACCATCTGTGTAAAAATGACCAACGTGATTTTGAGCGTTATTTGAACTAGTTGCAGCTGCTACTTTAGTCCTGCTAAATTGAACTTTCAAACATTTGGTCTAAAGAGAATTCAAATGTAAAACTTTTCTGTAAATGTCGTTTTGGTGTATTTTAAATGTAAAAAAATGGTGGACGGCAAATCAAATTTGTCTGTGTATAATTTAGAAAAAAATAAATTGAAAATTGATATGATGAATGAATGAATAAATGAATGAATGAACTAATTAATGAATTACAAAAAATCCAGCATAGCTAAAAAATTTATTGCTATTGAATATAAAACTTTTACAAAACTTTTACTAACCTACACTTTCGATTCAGTGTAGTATGCATTAAAAGTACATCACCTTAAATGGAATCACGAATTCAGACATTTCAATGATGAGATGGCGTTTTTCAACTTGTATTAAAAATTAAACAATAAATTAATTTTTATATAAATTAGTTCATGGACCATAATTCGAAAAAAAAGCAACCAAGTTTGTTACGTAAAATCTTGAATTCAATTTCAAGTTAAATCTATCACATTATCATAATATTAAATGGACATTATTTTACAAAATTATTCATTTTTCAATCTATCAGGGACACTTTTTGTAAAGGTTTCTCTAATAGCTCAATTTTGCTAAATATTAAGTACTTACCTGATATAATGTTTGCTAACCGCTCAACTCCCAAACGAAGTTTTGGCAACCCCGAACTTAGGAATCATTTTAAGACAAACGATTTTGGTTTAAACATAATTTTTGTGATTTTTTTCAAATTACTTACAATTTCTAATCAATTTCTAATGTGTTTATTTTTTCAATAAATCAATTTGTGAATGAAATTCTCGTGAAACAGCCAAACGTTCATGTCTTATAAACATTTTTATTTTTGTTTGAATTGAAACTTTTATTTCAAATTAAACATTTAAAGATAGGGTTAAACAAGACTTTAGATTCTATTTTTAGTGTTCTTAATTTAAAAATTTAAACAAAGCTGGTGATTAGCTACGTTAATTTGATATTTATTAAAAAAAATTCAATCAAAGTATTTTTTTACTACAAGTTTCTAAAATAGAAAAATTAAGCAATAGTAAATCACAAATTTTTAACAAAAATAGGCTAATCGTTTTAAACAGTGGCACTAATTGAGCTAAAATTAACAGTAAAAATCATTAAAGAAGTTCACTACCCTACAATTGTATTTCGTTTGTAAATTTCAAATAGTTTTCAAATTTAAAATCCTTTCAAAAACTTCCGAGGTGAGCGTATGTAGCATTCCAGAATGACCAACCCAATTTGGCAACTAAATTCCCAATAAGAAATCCATTCCTGTGCTGGTTCAGCTGGCATATTCTTTGCAGGTAGTTGAAATTGAACGAGTCACAGTTGTACGCTCCAACTTTCATGCACTGGCCTAAACATAATGAAGGTCTGTCGGCTTCAAACTCCATGAAAATGTAATTCAGCAATTGTTGATTGTTCTTAGAAGTCCAGACTTTTTCTAAAATTTTCAGTTTTTTTAATTTATTTTTCAATTTATCATCAACTAAATATTTCCAAGGTTGATCACCTGTAGCCAGCAATGCTTCATAGGCTTCCAACTCGCAAACGGAAAAATATCCATCGCTGGCACCAGCGGCTTGTTGAGCGATGATGTAACGGAAGGCAGGCAGGTTGGCGTTGCATTTGAGGATGACCCTGGAAGCAGCTGGAACATCTCCAGGGTAGGTAGCACACAGAGGATACTGTCCTCTGATTGGTGGTTCAACTGTGGCGCTTGATAACATCAGACCGATGATGAAGTTTGACAGACGTAGCATAACTAAAGAGTTTAAATATTTATATAATAACGGTGTAAAAGTCACATTGAGAAAAATTCTAATAGCTGTAAAATAGCTGTGATTTAAATTTTTTCCCTAATTTGGTTAGGTTTGGCTCAATGTTGAATGTTTCACCGTTGCTTCTAAATATGCTTCCTGCAGTTTGTTTATCAGTTTTGATTAATTAATGTTCATTAATGAAATTGTCCGCTAACAAATGTATGTATTTCAAACAAAAGGACGGCCTGATAGTCTAATTGTTAAGATCGCCTGGTCTTGTTAAACATTGACCAGGCGATGACAAATCGGTCTCGTCATTTGGTGTGGTGAGTCGTTCAAAAACGCTGTTTGTGGTTGGTTATGGTTAATTTTTTTAAACTTTTGAAGAGTCTGATAGACCTTCAACCTTTTTTAAACCTTTATAACTAGGCACAGTGGCTTACATGATTGAAATTCTCTTTAAACATAAAATATTTTAAGAAATCCTCGGACAAACTCTCAATCAAACTTCTAAATTGTAATTTAATATACATCTAATATTTGTTGATCGATCAGTTCCAACATAAATATTTTGGGATGACAACAAATTATTTACTGTAAGTTAATTAAAAATGAACAATCTTTTAATTATTCTGTTTTTATCATTTGTTAAAAAGAAATCAAAATCAGCAATAATTTAAATCAAAAAATAAATTCTGACAAATTTAATGAATCATTTATAGCAACTAACCATGTCTCTTTTTATAATCTCTACTAAAAAGAGCAATGTAATCAATGTTGTATTCTCCGCCTATGTCCACCTGTATCCAATTCTGGCCAGTCACCCCTTCATTTGTGTGCGCGCAATGACCACGAAAAGGTTCGGGATCTCTCAAGCCATCCACCATCAGGCCAGCGTTCAAATAAAACACATTATTTGTTAAAATGTTTTTATACTTGTATGTTGAAGACATGGTTGAATTTTTGTAAAGCAAAAGATTTTTTCGCTGGGTCACTGCTGGAAGATTAAGATGAAACTTTCAGAGTAAGCAATACATAATTTTTAGATATTTATTTTTAACATTATATTAATAAATTACAACTTGTTAACAAGTTTTTTTTTAAACTGTGCCTCGATAAAACTTAATCGCATAAATTTGCTCTCAAAGTTTTGATAAAGTAATTTTTTGACCGCTTATATATTTTTAAATAAAATATTATGTGAATGTTACTAAAAATTAGTTTCTTAATATCCTTTAATTTCAGTTAACAATATCGGCCATTGCAACTCCTTGATGCAACTTTACATTTTGTACTGCTTCCGTTCAACTCATTAGCTAGCAAAATGTTTCTACGAATTCAATTACGAACATTAAAAACTTAATTGTGCAAATCATTATTTAATAAAAATGAAAAGGAACAGTTACTAATGACACGACCTTCAGAATATTTGCCTTCTACGACAACCTCGCACACCAGCATCACATCTGGTGAAGTGGTGTTTTGCTCGATGATAATTTTTTTGCTGATAATGTTTCCAGGATTTGGACATGAAAATAATACATTTCTTTCATTCAGTCGACTTGTCAGGTTGTAACATTGGATGACCATCGATTTCGGAGTAGCCAGTCCAACATTCAAATCATCTTATACAAAATTTTAAATCAATTTGAAATGTCAAATCATCTTATAAAAATTTTTAGATCAATTGAAAATGGAAAATGTTTCTATTTTGTAATTTTAAGTTCAAGGACAACAAATTTTTCAAAGTATCTCACTTTTTATTGTTTTTCCATATATACGAACAAAATCAACTTGGTACAACCAAATCAAATCAACGATAATCTTCTGGTAACCAGACGAAAGTGATTTGAAGCAGAATGGAGGGCTGAACAACCCATCAACCACCAACGATCCATTGTACGGAAATTCTGATGAACTTTCAAAAACTATTTTGCCTAGCGCCACATTTTCTTGACATTTCGCCAGAAAATTGACGCTGCGAATCACAATAACTGTTGACAATAGTAACAAATTCATTTCTAATAGTTTCAAGGCAAAATATTTTTTAAATTAAATAATCCGATTTCAGTAAATTTGTAAAAAAATTTGAAGAAAACAAGTTAAGACTTGTGAAAGGGGATTTGTTTTGTTTGCACCAACACATAAAAGCAAAATTAATTTCAAGGCATAAGAAAACTGTAGAAAGCATGGCCGCGCTTGGTCTTCAAATTTGTCATTAAAATTTGTAGCTGAGTGCAAATTAAATTCTGTAGTTTATTTCCTATGTAGAATGTATTGTAATGTACGTGTTCTAACGGGCATGCAATTAATACCGCATGACTTTTGCTGTTATTTATAAAAGCAAAACGTGATAAGTAAGCCTAACATCATGTTTTCAAATGTTTCTTCTTAACGTAAACTTCAGTGCAACTAATTGGACGTTTATGACGTTGGCAGAAAATGTTTATTTTTGAAAAATGTTGAAATTTTTTGACCTTGTCGAGAGGCAGAAAGCATTTGTGAATTAATTTTTTTTCATCAGTTCAAATTATCTGTTATTTTATATGAATGTGGATGTCTCCATACTGCAAGATTTAATTGTAGATGATTTTGACATTTGCATTTTTAATGTCAACAGTTGTGCTATTTCATAATGAATGTGTATTTTTTATTTTTGTTTAGGGTGGCCATGCAAGCTCTTTTGAGCTTCTGAGTCTCCCAAATTTGTCTAAATAAAATTTGTCTAAATAAAAAAAAATTGTGCCGTGTGGATAAGGGGAGGGGGTGGAAATCGATTCCGACTGCATCACATGAAACACGGATGAGGAAAAAATAGGATATGGACGAATGCCTGTTTCCTTGGCATTATGTTTTTCTTTTAAAGTTTTTGGGGTCTAATAGATTTGCATGATTTTATGGCTTTTGATTTTCTGGTTTGAATCTGCTTGTTTTTTTTCAAATTTACCACGTACAACATTTACAGAGGCAGAGAGTAGGTTGAAATGGAAATTTATTTCTCGTGCATCAGGCGCAAAGCTGGCGTGGAGTCGTGCTTTTAATTTAGTTTGTTTTCAAAATTGTGCACTTTGTTTTGTATGTCTACTTGTTATCATTTGGTTTTATTCGATACTGAAACTTCTTACCCGGTCGACAACTGATAATATTTTTAAGACTCGTGATAATGTGAAACCTGTCACTAACTGTGGTCATATATTAATTGATCCTGCTGATGCTTGGAATGACAAACTTTTTGTAAATACTGTAACTAATTTAGTTTCACTTCCACTGTCTAAGTGCGCTTAAGAAAATTTCTCCCCAAATTGAACATCAAATTATTTTGTTAATTTCAACTTCTAGAAAAGAAATAATTACAACTGCTAAATTATTTAAACCCAAAAGAACTAGTGGATGGGACAGCAGTCATTGAAAATAATAATGTCAACCGCGGATACGATTGCTCATGTTTAAGAACTTCTTATCAATTTATCTTTTCCTATTCCAAAATATCCAAAACATTTAAAAATTATTCAAATTAAGAAAGATGAGAAAAGTAATCTCTCCAATTTTAGACCTGTGACTGAACTACCTAATTTTTAAAAAATAAATAAATGAAAAAATTAAATATAACGAATTTTTCTTAAACATTATTATACAAAATTGGCGATTGTGGAATTGATCAGAGTAATAGTATTAGTATCTGGGAAAAAATGTTCACTGTTGGAGCTTGTCTGGATTTATTTAAGGTCATTAATTGTATTAATTGCAGTACTCTGTTGGCTCAATTGGATCATTACTGCACTTGTAATGTGCAGTTAGACTGGTTCAAAAGCTAAAAACCAAAACCACATATATGTTAACTTAGTTTTATAATACTAGCGCAAGCATACAATCTTATACATACATGTGTCTACACAGCACACACATACACACACATACATACACAAGACATAGAAGCAGCTGCGTGAAACAACTTTTTCAAATTTCAAAGATCAAAACATTTCTTGCCATTCTTACAACAACTTTAAATTTAAAAAATTCAAACTAACAATCGATAAAAACTTCGCGAACATGAAGAGAACTTTAAAAAAGTTGTTATTCATACTTTTGGAATAAAAAAACTGAAACGGTTTTTAAAAGAAAAAATGAATTTTTGAAATGTTTGAAAAAATTCTTGAGAATAAAGTTTCTTTATTCGAAAGGATATTTTATAAACCCATCTACACTGAAGGATTGATCAACACTTCTGTTCACATTTTTTCTTGGTGAGGGCTTTTAAATGTTCTAGCGCTATTTTCACGAGCTTCAAAAACAATTTTCAAGGCAAAACATAAAAACACTGATCATTACAAAGCAATTAAGCTGCACTAAACACTGGAAAACAATCAATTTTTTGACACTTTGAAACGAAACGTTGGCGTTCACAAAAATGTGCTTGCAAGTTCGAAATTCAGGTGTGTATATAATACACGGAAGAATAAAATTTAACGCGAGTTCTTTCTAATAACATTACCTACTCTGAAAATTATGATTTTAATAATAATTACAAGTTGTAAGAGAATATGGTTTTGTATGATTATTCCATGTTAAAATTTATTTTCATCGTTTCCTGTCTTGCACGTTGTTACTTCCTTTGCATTTGACAGTTTGATTTACGGAATAAAAAAAAATTGTTAACTTTATAACAAAATTTCATTCAATAATCAAAAATATTTGAACATTTTTAATTAAAACTTAAACTAAAATTTTTAAATAAGCATCCTGAAACTGTGACTTTCAGTTCAAAGTTGTGATAACACTTTATACATTACATTTTCTTCACCCATCTCACCAATCAAAATATTTAACGAACTAAAAAAATGAAAATATTTGTCCTGATAATGATATGTACCTCACAAATCTTATCACCATCTTCATCACAAACAGCTGGCAAAATATTCAGCAAACTGCCATGGAAAAATACCACTCTCTGCTCAAACTCCATCAACAAAACACTTTCTTTCAATAGGACAGTAGTGCCAGAAAAAATATTGATCACCAACAAATTTGAAAAGTTATGCGTTATAAAATGTCAAACGTCAGTAAGAACGTGTTTCGCATTTCAAGTTGACAAAATAAAATCGGTGAATATTATTGGCGCATATGATGTGTTATGTTTCTATTACAATGATATGCCAGACGGCTTGTACACCAATGATCATGCCAACTGCTCCATGTTCCTCAACATTCTTCAAAGTTAGTATGCCTTGTTTCACTGCTTTGAAAGTTGCGCCAAAATTCCATGTCGATGACTTTAATGAAGTTTTATTGTTTTAAGTGACAGTGTAGACATTAGACAATGACAACTGATGATTTTTATGAAATTTGTGTTTGAAAAAAGTTTAGAATGATTAGTTATTTGTTTATTCAGAGTGGATGGAAATAAAAATATGTCAAACATTTTTTAATTTTGAATTCATGATCATTTTATTCATTTATTATATTATATCTTATTTAATCAAAATTTTTTTATAATTTTTTTGATCAAATTTTTTTATATTTATATATCTATAATATTTCTTTTAATATTTATAAATTTTGTTCACTCAGAGCCAATCTGCATCAACATTTCCTCCTACGGAAATAGCGACACGAACAAACATCTCCCGGATCGAAACCTGATCGAAATTATCGGAATGGACCGGTATAATCCGTCCAAATCCCAACCGACCGGCGTTGGCTTGTACAAATTGAACATGGAGAGTCGTTCTTTGTACGATTATCAGCTTTTTGACACCTTGGCAGCAGGGGATGGAGCAGTTTTGATGAAATTGTATTTCACGGTGGATGACGTGCTTCAATGTTTTGTTTCTGTAGTAACTTGAATGTTGCAGGATCACTTGGTTTTAAGTGGTGTGTTTGTTTTAGAAATTTAACGTTCATTTCAACACAGGTTTTTAAATTTATTAAAATTGATTAATTAATTAATTTATGAATTTATTTATTTATTGACAGAACACCACTAACGGAACAGTGATTGTTGGACAAACGAGCGATGAACCAAGCTTCAACATAGGAAGTACCATTCCTTACTTGAAAAGTGTGAACCTGGACATCTCGAATTCGAAATGGAGGAACAAGTGGTTGTTTCTGTGGCAGCAGGGCGCCCATGCCAAAACTTTGTCCTACATCGATAATGGAACCCTTGTTTTTTCCAAGCAGTTCTTCATCTACAACATCGGTTTGAAGTTTTTTTTTTACTTCTCGTTTTTTTGTTCATGCAAAGATGATTTTAAGCATCTTTCATTACAGTTTAAGTTAAATTTTTAGTAAACTCGGAAATAATAATTATTTAAATTGTTATAAAATTAATAAAGTCAAACATTTGTTTTTTTTTCTATTTTCCAATAAATAGATCAAAATTTTTATAAAATTAATTAAGTCAAACATTTGTTTTTTTTCTATTTTCCAATAAATAGATCAATATTCAAATTAGTAATCATGTACAGTTATGATGATAAAAACTCCTAACGTACATAGCTGCCAACAGATCTGATTGGACCGGTGTTAGGATGCGGACGATCAGCTGAATGGTAAGACGAAGAGATGGGCGAGGATTTTACATTTTTTAATAAATGTTGGTTTCAAATTTGAACGAAGTTAAGAGGAATGGAAAAAACGGATTTGGAACGATTAGATACGACTAAAAATTATTTATTTTATGTAGCTATTTTTTAGAATCAAGATGCTTTTTTCAAGTTTATATAGGAATGAAGGAAAGATGATTTTCGGTTATAAATATTGATTTTTTTTAATATAATAATAATATAATTTATATAGCGCCATGGCAAGCGACTGAAGCGAATGATTATTATTAAAACAAACACAGTGCAGGTAAAAACACATGAAACAGCGCATCACACACTTTTGCATGTGATTGGCGGCGATCTCTTTAGATTTGAACGCGGACACGGCATCAACGATGACAGACACCTTAACTTTTACACCATCGCACAGTCTATTTTCTTTTTATTTAAAAAAAGCGGTAATATTGAATATTATGTTAGTTCAAAAGTATGTGTGGTTTTTCTGTGTTGTGTATTGTGTATTATGCTGTTTCTATTTATATTTTTGATTGAGGCATAAAGCATAGGAGTCTGCCTAATGTTTTTTAAATAATAATAATAACCGAATGACTGAATGACATCATTGTGACGTCACTATGAATATTTAAATACATTAATGTACGTAACTAATCAGACAAATATGTCTTGTTTAGAACTTTAATACAAAATCATATTATTCTAAAATCAAATTTATAATAATTTTCATGTCTTATTATGCTAAAGTGTTACATTATCATGGATGTTGAGTTTTATTATCATGATTATATGTTAAATGAATGTAATTTTTGCTTTATAATATCCTAATTTGGATGTTATTTACTGTTTTACCGTGCACAATGACTACATTTCTTAAATAAACGCGTGTGTTTGTTTTTTGTACATTTTCTTTAGTTTAGATTTATTTTGATAAAATTTATCAAATTTTTTTTTTAAAGAAATATAATAATTGTGATTCATATATTTTGCTAACAAAAACTATGGTTTCCTCATTGGGATCCCACAAACTCGCGCACCACACATGCACCAATGAAACATTCAAAATATTGAAACAAACATTGACCAGCATGAACAACATTGAAAAAAAAACAAAAGGTCTAACCCAAGTACATGGCAACTAACGATGCATTCATTAATTTTGCGCTTGTGAAGGAGTTATACTGAAAATTTTTTTGAATAAGCAAGCGAAACCAAATGCTGCAAACTCAAAGAGACAGTATTTTAATCGTGTTCAGTGCATAGTTCCTTTCAATCATACGAAGGTTCGAATATTTATAACTAACTCATCAGCAATATAAATTAAGCTTTTTATTTCAAATCTTAAGTTTTTTGTTAAACTAAAAATTAGCACAACAAATGTTTGAAAATATCTCCAATGTTCAAATTTCAAAATTTTTAAGTATCAAAATTTTCATTAAAATGGTCAACAAAAACAAACGATTCTCTTCAAAACAGATTTAAAATTGATACAAATTCAGTTTATTAAGTACTTAGACGCTCCTTTATTACATTGAATGTTAGTTATATGAACAAATATTGAGAATTTAATTATAAAAGAATATAAAAACATAAAAACATGATGAATAATTAAAAAATTCTTGAGTGGAGTGGAGTTTTTTAATCATACTAAACTGCATTTTTAAGTAAAGTTAACACAAATTGAACGGAAATTAATAAATTAGAATTAAAAGCTGATCAGTGGAAAATATGAATTGGCATTGCACCACCAAGGAGTAAAACTTCATCAATTAAAATTTATTATTGATCAAAATAAGTAATTGGTCTTAGCAAGTCTGGGAAAAATTATTCTTCACAATTATTGGCATGGGCTTATTTGATTTACTCTTCAAACACCTCAGCATACACAAAGTTAATTGAAAGTGAAGCATCGTGTATTCCATCAATAAGAACCTTAATAAAATTACTAAAAGAGTTAATGTTAACTGAACAATGCTGGACAAGACTAAGGACATGTTTTTAACAATTGATTAAGTGTATGTTGCCAGACGAGTCAAATTCAGTGGAGGTCAAGTCTGGTTTGACGACAGATATGCTTCATGATAAAATCATTATACCAAAAGTATAAAGATATGGTGGCCATGTATCCCATACATAATAATCTATCAGAAAACCCATCCTGTTTGTCCAGTTCCTACGCCATCCTGATGACTCAGATAGCTCGGTGGGTGCCCACTGCCCATCTCTTATAACGGAGGTTGTTTTGGACTTTTAAGGAATTTGACTCACGTTCTTGCTGCAACTGGTATCATCGTTATGTTGATGCACACGAGAGTCAATGTTGCGATGATGTGTAAAAATTTCAATCTGATTCAACAAAATTAGCATATTTTACGATCTCATAAAGTTAAGATGAATCAGTTTTAATACTAACATGATATTGTAATTTGAAGTATTTAATTCTATTAAACTTCTATGCGTAGAAAAACTCAAGCTGATGTGAATCACTCAGTCGAAAGAGCTCAGCACATCGTATATACATAACAAAACAGATATTTGTCAGAAACAGAAAGAACTAAGTTCTTGAGGCTTCAAAGGAAAATGTTTGCTCGTCAATCAATCAATCATATCACTAGGAATGTTTTGATCCATGAATTGTTGCACGAAATCCGCTGACTTCTTTTATGTGTTCATTGCCTTATGTTTCAAAGGAACTATGCAAAAAGTTACAGCTGAAAAATGTTAAGCATTAGAAGTTTTTATGAAAAATATAACCACGCTGTTGACTAAAAGGAATGAATAAGTTACCGTTGAGTATTTGTTTAAGTGGAGTGCACCAGAGTATTTGCATCAGAATATGTTTTTGTCAGAACATTATTTACACTTAGTTTTTTTTCACGAATGTTTTTTTGTTCAGTTACAAGAAGAGATTGAAAAAATGAAAGTTTCAGAAAGTTGTTGAACAATAACAAAAATCAATTGTTTAAAATTTAAAAAACAAAACAGACATTTAAGAATAATAATTTTTAGTAAAAATAGGCAATAGCTTAAAACGTATTAATTAAAAAAAAATTATATGCTTATTAGATATTTTTACTGAAATGGTGGATTGCTTTTTGTGAAACCAATTGCGCACAGCTGCTGAAGAATGCAAAACACCTCAAATAATGCAATAAAAATTCATTTGAAATGATATACAGGAAGGATCATTCCAACATTCAAAGGACAATGGATACTTGATCACACCAGCGTTGGATCCGATGCCGAACGGAACTGTTGTTTTCAACTTCGACGGGAGAGATTACATGGTTTCTAAAAGTTTGAAACAAAAACTTTA